GGTACGATACCCTGCACGTTCGTTTTTTGTGATTTTCTGGAATTCTAGTATCATTATTCCTGGCGCGTAGATCTCCCTCAAAAGTAATAGGCATGAATAACGACAAGTGGTATGCACTCAAATCAATCACATTTTCTTCGATGGGCTTTGAATTGAAAGCTAAGTTTTCAAAGCTTGTTTCCCATCAGTGAGCTTTGAAAAATTAGCTTTTTCAGTGGGCAGCTGAAAACTTAACAGATAGCAGATATATCAGTGATGTTACTGGAATGCTCCCTTACGCCACGCATACTTTAGGCTGGGCCTTCGATTCTGAGCTGCTTATCATAGATTCGCAGAGGCGTCAAAATCTCAGGGCAATTTTTTGGATGACAGGTGCTGAGATAAAGCTAATCGGCAAGATCTGTTATTGTGACTTAAGAATAATGGCGTTTGGGTCCTGGTAGTGCTTTTCGATTGTTTCGGTTTGTAGAGTCGTTGAACTGGTAATCCCTTCAAAAGACGACACGAATGTGAAAAAAAAATCGCCAACAGTCTGACCAAAGGCGGCGCAACACTGGTCAAAGCAACGAGAAGAGTTTCCAGCGAAGAGCCAGTCTATGAATTAACCGAGTGCTTACATGATATGTTTTTAACGTGCACGATTTCACTGCGACCACGCGAGAAAGTAAAATTCGATGAGCAAAACATGTTGCTCGCCTTGCAGATATCCGGTGTGCGCTGGATATTAATGAGTGATATCCACGAAAAAGCTGCTCGCACTTTCCGTTAAGGTCACACACATACATCGAGCAGATAATGTATGAGCTAGGACTGGAGGGTTTGACATGACTGCCGCTCGAATACAGTAGTATTCCAGTAACATCTCTAACATGGGATACCCAAACGGGCTGCACGGACAGCCTTGATATATCTGGTAGACAACGAGACACGCATATATAAAACAGTAGACAGAACATTTCTTTAGGATGGCAGCACTTTTGTACGATACCTCCGACTTTCTGGTACGGTATGGTGGAGTGTGCTTACGATCAACTTCGCCTTCCTGTTCCTCACGGCTGTGCAGAACGGAAAAGGTTCGGAAAATCGCTATATATAAACGGTAAGTTCTTTTTTGAAAATTTCAATGAAAAAGCTAAGAATATTTATCCAGAAACGACGTTTACTGTTATTCTGGAGCCTAGACCTTGTGCTCGGTGGTCTGCACGCAGGGTCTAGGCTCCAGGATAACAGTAAAAGTTTAAACGAAAGGATGACAAACGGGGTAGGAACAAACACCCAAAATTTCAGCCTCCCAGCTTTACTGGTTGCTGAGATGAAAGTGGGTGACAAAGTTCACTCGACAATCTCTCGACGATATTCCTTTTTGCTGGCTATAGCAGCGCTATAGCGCTGCATAGTAAAAAAGCATAATGAATAAAAGCATACTAAGATTGCCGGGACAGCCAGTATGAGTATCGCATGTCAGTAACATTACTGAGATGTTCTTATGTGTCAGATGAAAATGTACCAGGCCTTTCGATGGACAAAAAACCCACAGGAGAATGTACTTCAAAGTTGCGAAGAACTAGAGAAATTTCCAGAATTTCAACAAATTTTTTGAGAATTGCGCATTTCACTTCCACTACTCTTGTTCATTTTTAAAAAATCTTAGTAAATTTAGCTCAGTAAATAATTCTTGCAATAGATGAATGATAAAAAATTCGAAAAGTCAGATGAATGCAAGAGAATTTGGGGAAAAATCAATTATAGACGTAATTTAAAAGAAATTATATTTTAAAAGAAATTATATTACATTAGAAAATGAAGGAAAATATTTCATGCCAA